ATGATGGCCTTCACATCATATCAATACCGTATAATACGCATTATTATTATTATTATTTCCATAACCTTGAACCTTCCAAGTTGGAAGGCTGTCGGTTAGCGCTACGGAGATGTGTTGAAGCTAGGTGTCAGGACGTCGAATGTCTCAGTACTCTGTCAGTTTTGTGCCTAGTTGTTGCACTTTCTGACTGTATATAGTATTATTATTATTATATTTATTTTACTAGGGTGTTTCCCACAGACCTATGGTCTTCTTACGGGAGCCCCTAGAAAGGTTAAGCATGAACGAACAAATGGGCGATAATCATTGATGTGCAAGCCTTTTCTTGCAGAAAATGGTGCTACCATAATGCGTGTTCTTCTGCTGGGGAGGCATGTGGTTAGTGGTGGTGATACTTTTTTTATACGCAGGTCATTCTGTGCATGTTGCTGTTGCAGAATTTCATGACTGTCACAAAATTGTCTTGCCTTTCAGATATTTCAGATTTCCCCACCCTCGATCAGATTTACTTGAGAAATGAAGCCAGGTGCGTGTCGCAGATGTTTTTGTTGATTCTGTGTTTATAATTGTTTATAATCATGATTTATCGTGATAAGGTCATCCTGCATCATATTGCACTGAAACCGTAATCCTGTTGATGTCGATACAACTTTTGGAAGTAGTTCAATGACTTCAAACTGTTAGTCCACGATTTTCTAAAACAACACAGCAAAGGAGGAACAATAAACATGTATTAAAATGTAAACAAATACATTGTTGAGGCCGGTACCTCGTTCCAACAACTACACTGATCCTGAGGATAAAAGGGGCAAGGCCATTGGAGGTTGGAGGTCATTATTATCAAATTGTCAAATTTTTGATGGGACAATCCCGCAGGCCTAAGGCCTTCTTACAGGGTACCCTGGAGGTACTGAGAGATAAACAAGGCACTCCATAATAATAAAATGTTACACATCTTTTGCCGTGAGTATGAATGATATCCAGTCGAACCTCTTTAGGACGAACACCAAGGGACCGATTGTATTTATTCTGTGAGTTTGTCTTAACCTATATTAAAACCAGTGAATACATTTCTCCAATAGACATACGAATAGATTTTTCTACAGCGAAAGATTCTAAGCCACACCGACTCGTCTTGTATGAAACAAATGAGTCCCTGAACCTTTCTTTAGCAACATGACGGCAACTGAAACAGCAACAGAGAAAGTACGATACATGTACAGCACATTCTTGCAGGTACTACAAACAGATTGCAGATCGTAAGTTTTGCTTTGGTGGCACGCAACTTTATTTGGGGCAGTGCAATAGACCCTTTGCATATGCGGCCAAAAAGGCTGCGTTTTGTACGCCACGCGTCATACCCATGACTCACCATTGTCACGTGCACGGTGTTTCTTCAAAATGGGACATGTCGTGAACATGGTGAAGGAGATTGAATGTTTGGCAATTGAGAATGCCACTTTGACGTCCATATTTTCACTTTCATCGTGCTCTACCACTGGTCTGTATTGATTGTTATGATGGACACGGAGCCTGTAGTCTCATCTGACCCACTGCAGCCAGTAGTTACCCCCAAGTTATCTGTGTATGCCGAGAAATTGGATTCCATTGGGAAGAAACGATATGAAGAGAAATTGTCTTTGCTTTCTGGATTCGACCCAATGCTGGGCATTCCTCGTGGTGCGAAACCTGTTGAGCCGTGTGTGGAAATGTCTGACCTTATGTCCTACTTGGTCCATGAAACGAATTTCTGCTCCAAAAAGCAGTTTAAAGCAAAGAAGGGCCTTGACGCATATAACCAGTTCGTATCAGGTTGGGTGAAGGAAGTGAAGTCGTTCGAGTGCTGCGGGAAACATGTCACTGTAGCACGGGTAAGAGTTTTGTTCATCACAATAAATAATCACTCTTCATCGGTAACACTAGTATGGCAGAACTGACAAAACTGAATCTGCTGAGTTGGCTATTTACTCCTGATTAGTATGTGTGTATGAAAGTGGTTCAAATTTTGAACTTATAGGGGAATAATTGATAAACAAATTTCAGCACATGTACTAGATGCGCCACTTACTGTGCCATGAGATTGTGACTTGACGTAGTACTTACTATACCCTTCTTGCGGACATGTCCAGGGCTATATTTCTCAGTATGCATATGTACAAATTATTCCAAATTGTTGGTGAGTGATGAACGTGCATTCCATGTGTTCCATGTGCTCCATGTCTCTCACAGGTCCGTCACTCACAAAGGTTCAGCGAAACACCACTACACTGTTGGCTTATCACAGACCCCGATGGTGTTGTCTGCTGTGCGCACTGCAACTGTATGGCAGGCTTGGGAGAAACGTGCACACATGTTGCTGCTACTCTGTTTTTCCTGGAGGCTGTTCATCGGCATAAGGAACCCGCCGCGACCGTAACTGGAGTGCCATGCCAGTGGAAGGTCCCAACCTTTCAGAAGGAAATGGAGTATGCCAGGGTAGCAGACATTGATTTCTCGTCGCCTCAGCAGAGGCAGGAAGCACTTGATCGAGATGTGTCACCTCCCCCAAGCCCAAAGCGCCTCTGTGTGAAGCTACCCTCAGACGCCGAGAAGCAGTGCTTCTATAAGAACCTTGCGTCCCTGAAAACGAAGCCCGCCGTCCTGTCCGTCATCAAGCCTTTCCTATCAGGTTATGTACCAGCATCAACTTCACCCACCCTCCCGAAGCCACTGAATAGCCTTTATCAAGAGGAATGCCTCGCTATGAGCCATGAGCAGCTTCTTGATGTGTGTGCACAGAGTAATGTGGACATAAGCGAGAGGGAAGTGGCAGCTGTTGAGACAGCTACAAGGATGCAATCTGGCAGCAGAGTGTGGTTTGAACAAAGAGCCGGCCGTGTGACGGCTTCCCGAATGTATGATATATGTCACACATCTGCGCAGTCTCCATCCAGGAGCCTCATCCAGGCTATATGCTACCCCGATCCTCTGCCAAAGGGTGCTCCCTCTACACGCTGGGGACAAGAACACGAAGGCCCTGCACGGGAGCGGTACACTGCTATGATATCTGCCAATCACATGAATTTCGAGGTGTCTGATTCTGGTTTAGTCATCAGCAAGGAGCTGCCATTCATCGCTGCCTCACCGGATGGCATTGTCCAATGTGATTGTTGTGGATCCGGTCTGGTGGAGGTGAAGTGCCCTTATACTCATCGGGGGACTCCATTGGATTCGGCTTCCCAGGACAAGAAGTTTTGCCTGGAAATGGTTGGGAGCAAGTTACAGCTCAAGCGGACTCACGCTTATTATTTGCAAATCCAGACCCAGCTGTATGTTACGGGAGCAGATTTCTGTGATTTGTGTTTGTGCCTCTTCTGTGAGGATGGCAAGAATGATTTACATGTTGAACGCATCTACCCGGACTGTGATGCCTGGAAGGACTTCATTACAAAGGCGAAGAAGTTCTTCTTTGGGTGCATCTTGCCAGAGCTCGTTGGGAAATGGTATACGTCCAAGGGTGCTCGTCTTAGTATTGGCACTACCATGGGCCCTCAACAACCACCACCAATGTTGTCGCCTGCCAGAGAAGCCACATCTTCCTCGACAGTCCAAATGACGACGCAAAGCCTCTCTCTTCAGTCAGCTGCGAGCATCGCCCAAGTCCAGTATCCGATGGCGTCGAGTCTGGCACTTCATTCGCCGTCAATGGTGAAGGCCTGCTGCAAGAGTGGATGCTCCTATTCTTTAGATCTTCGTCCTTGCCGCTGTGGTCACCACTTTCATCATATATGTACGACTGATGAGGATGGAAAGCTGTGTGCTTGCTGTTATACAGCGTACCCCTTTTTATAGTCATTGACGTATTCGTCATTTTGTGTTATTTATGGTGGTAGTGCCACTCATTAACCACTATAGTTTCCCTTGCCACTGGAAATGAACTTAGCATATATAGCTCGCGTGTGTGTGTGTGTGTGTGCGCGCGCGCGCGCGCGCGTGTGTGTGTGTGTGCACATGTGTGTGTGTGCGTGCGTGTGTGCCTGTACGCACGATGAACGAACAGCTTTTCGCTATCATTGCTGTTGCAATGGGCAAGTAACGGGTGTGTGTATGTGTTTATGAAGAAGGATTCCGGTTGTATACCCCAGTGACACAGTACTCTCTTGGCTGCCTGGCCCCTAACTACTGTACTGCGGGCATGACCATTACAAGTTAGTCTAGTAGGATGTTTTTGTTTATAACCTGAGAATGTGGAGAGCATGAACGCGAATGTTTTCTGATTTTCTGAATTTCTTTGCTAAATTTGATTTCTTCTTTGCCTGCCTGACGTACGAGTAGTAGTTTTGTACAAGTATCTCTCCACATCTGCTAATATTAGTCCGTAAAAGCGGCATCCTTCCTTGGCTGTTCCCCAGTCCAATACAATACCACTACCTCACAAAGCATTGTGTTTGCTGGTCTCAACCATGCAGGGAGTGAAAATATATCCCATGCTCTGCTTGCTGTATATTGAAGTCAAGCGAGAAGTAGGTATTGCTGCATGCTAAGAAGCCCCTGGTGTATTGTCACAAGCTAACAATACAGCGGATATAGGGACACGATTTTGAGGCCCGGAGGCATGTCGTTGTAACCAATGTTGACTGTACATGTATGTGGGACACAAGACGAGTAAATCGTTATAAATTTTTTCAAACTGTATCTGCGGGACTGCATGGCAGCTCTCAGATTGCGGGATAAGATCAGAAGATACAAGCAACAGAGGAAAAAGCCCACAGCCAACATGTTCGGTGTCTCCGCTGTCACCGTGAACAAATCAAGTGAAGCGAAAAAAGATCATGATATGGCAGTGTCATTACAATGAAGGTAACTTGCAAATCTGGAAACTGTAAAAAGGACAACTGTGATTTCAGCAACAACAAAACACACACACACACTCTACAGCCATCACGTTCGGGCTCTCCACCGTCTCCGTGGACAAGTCAAGTGAAGTCGAAACGGGTCATCGGCGCAGGCAACAGGTGTAGTCACTCGAAAGGCACAACCGAATCACAGAGATTGGTCAGGGCACAACATACAGGAATGATACGGCAAATCAAAGGTCGGTCATCTCCAGAGCGACTACGCAGGAAATCAATCGGCAGTATTCCTCGCAAAATAGAATATTTCTTGCGGAGATTCCCAATAACTCGTTCGACGTGGATGCGCACGTTTGCGATGCTGCGGGTGGTATGCACATCATCGGCCGACAGTTGCTTCTTACCCCTTGTGAACGCTGGGATGTGGAGCTTGGCTCCCTGCACGGCAACTAGCTCCTGGATGTCAAAGCCACGGTCTGCAAGGACAATGTCTCCAGGTAAAAGGTTTGACAAGAACTGAGAGTGCTGGGTTAGATACTTGTCACTGACGCGCCCGCCCCACGGCTCGGAGATGAAGGAGATGACACCTTGCGGGGTGATCCCAATCAGCACTTTAATTGTGTTATGTTGTTTGTAGTTCGACCATGTCTGGGCACGGGTGTACAAGTTTGAAGGCCTGTCTATGAACACTTCGAAGCAGTCGATGATTGATGACACTTTCACGCCAAACGCCTCCCTGAAACAAACTGGTGTTGTCGCTTGTAGCTCCTCCCTCCCTGGCCAGACAACCAAATGTGATAGTCGACGGTCCATGGCTGTATACCATTTGGTAAGAATGCGGGAAATGGTGCCAGCCGATACACCCATCCGATGGCCCAGGTCTTGTAATGATGAGTCCAACCGTAACTTCACAAGGGCAACAACCATCTCTTGAAACGGGGACAAGGCACAGCCAAATGAGTCTGGCATTCCCTCACGCACATGCTCGTACACAGCCAGTAACATCTCGAAGGTTGGCAAACCCGTAAAGAACCGCACATCGCCATCATTTTGCAACTTGGCTTGCGTGAACGGCGCGTGACTGGCCAATTTGCCTTCAAGCACCTTGTATTCCGCTGTCAGCTTGGTCAGCCTATCTTGCAAGCCCTTGTTCTCTGTAGATAGCCTGGCCAGCTGCACCTGGACGTCCAAGTTGTTGAAGCTAGCCGTTGGAGCATGGAGGGAAGAAGGTGAGAAGGTGGCTTCCGTTAAAGATTGAAAGGCAAATGTTATATCATCACCAGATAACAACGTCCCCACGCATTTGTCATTGGTGTCCTTACTGCCTTCTTCAGAAAAGTCTAGCTCTTGAACCAGCTGGCCAGGTGGAAAATTGGATAAATCCATGCTCTCCTCCACAAGGACGTCACTCTCATCATCAACATCATGTGGCGGTGACAGATCTAAAGCAGCAGGCCCAGCATCAGGTGATGGTGGTGGTTGTAACGAGGCAACGCCAACATCACACAGATGTGGCGGATCATTGACATCCAATGACGCTGCAGCCTCTGAATGGGCCTCCTCCACTCTCTGTCTGGCTTTGCGACGGGCATAACGCTCCACTACCTGCTCCTCACTCGCCTTCCTTTTGCCAGGACCAGGCAAATTCTTCGAAGGAACCCAATCTGGGTTTGTTTTGTCCCAGAGTTCAGAAGGGCGGCCGGAAATGAAATGATCGCTGCAAACACGAGCATCATCCAATGTCTTCCCAACTAGGTCTGCTCTGGCTATCGCTGCAATCCACAGCCGTCGCCTCTCCTTGACCAGTTCGATGTCAGCACTTTTCGTTTTCGAGTTCACATTGGGAAGAGAAAACCTCTTGATTTTATCTCGACCCGTCCGCTTCGTACAGCGGGCAATAGAACATATACCCATCACCACAATGGACACAGACTACAGAAATGCAAAAAGCGGACTGCTTGGCAAGGAACAAGCGCAAGAAGAAGGGGAAGAAAACTCTAATATCAATTTGAAAACAATAATAATTTATTATAATCGAGGATGGGACATGTCCCAAGTTGCTTCCAACCTAGCACGGGTCCCTGACGTCATGATAATGATGACATAATGCGTACGCTGTGCAAAGGGTCTATCTCGGCGGTACTCACAAATCAAACAGCCCAGACTCGAGTAAACAAATCCAATCATACAAGTACGAGATTTTCACGAGACGAGACTGTACCCATTGGCTTGTTTCGTATGAAGCAAATAAGTCACTGAACCTCTCCATAATGGAGATTTTCCCTGATATGCGAATTTATTTTGCATACTCGGTCAATGGGTCCTTGAACCTTTCCCTCCAGATTGGGAACTGCCAACTATAGTATGCCACTGACCAGTGCCTTACTTGTAACGTACCAATGTACAATGAACATGAGTATTTCGACAACACATCTAAGCCTCAGCAGCAACATAAGCCTTACCGTCAAGAAGGTGACCTCGCGTTCTTCGCACACTGTAGGCAAGGGCAAAGAGATAAAAATGGATCTAAATCCGAATAAAATCAGCACACGTTTCCGTAAATGAAAGGGTGAGCATAAGCAAATGAATCGAAGGAAACTGGTCAACTCAGAGATCACCTGTCATCGAGTATTCCGTAAAAGGAGGCCTCGGCAGCGGAAAAGCTAAATTTAGAAAGGAGATCCTGTCAGCTTTTCCATTATTTATTGCATTCCGCCCAAAATCAGCACCCTTTTCGTAAATGAAAGAGTCAACACAAGCAAATGAATCAAAGGAAACTGGTCAACTCACCTGTCATTGAGCAATATTCCGCGAAAGGAGGTCTCAGCAGCGCCGAAACGAAGTAAGTCAGGCCATGAGACAAAATATCCGAAACAGCTCATGCAAGAAGCAGTTCCAAAGAAGGAAGTTCCTCGTGCATGCACATCCGAAAAGGCAACAACAAAAAGTCTGCAATGCACACGCATGCGGCCGGCCGCGCGATGGTAGGAGCCATGGAGCAGCTCCCTGCTCCAGGACCAGGTACCGAGCATCTTACGTAGAAACTTACGTAGCTACGTAGACAACGTGTCTGAATAGCGGTGTCGTTAGGTAGCGCCATGTGAACACAATAATAGAAAAGCTGACAGGATCGCTTTTCTAAATTACGAATCAAGGACCGTACGCAGGATAGCTGCCGAGCCAAGGAGAGCATTCTTTTGCAATTATGATTACTAGCATATCGTGTAACTACATGTACTACATGCATGCAATCACGACTATTGCCGGAGCGATGATGGTGAACAAGAGGTTATGCGAATGATTTCTTGGGGGGAGTCAGCGGAACCGCTTACGGGCGCTAACAAGATTACAGGTCTACCCTCGTCACCAGTTAGTAGACAGCCCCGGGGGTTTCAACATCTTCATCTTATAACGAGTTTATCTACACTGCTGCTCAATGAAATCCAGTCGCGTCGCTCAAGTACGAGCCGGGCGTTGCGCAGCCCTAAACCTGCGAACACTGGGCTGCGAGATGGTGCAAGGTGCAAACCTGAGTGAAGCGACTGGATTTCATTGAGCAAGACTGTACTATCCGGACTTGCACATTTTTCTGCTGTTTTACATCATTCATATTGTAACAGTTATCTGCTCCAGAAATGATGTTTCCTCGTGAACACATTGTATAATTATTTAAAAAGACAATTTGTTTCCCCAGGCCCCTGCACAAGACAATCCATTATTTGACAATTTTTCCATCGGACCCGATACAAAACAACATGAAACATCGATCGAGCTATCCATGGCTATTAGCGAGGGAATCGAACCTGGGGGACAGCTGAAGGTGACATTATAACGAATTTTGTCTACAAATGAATTATCTGTTATCCGGACTTAAAAAAAAAAGTACTTGCACGTACGACTGCTACAGGTGCCTTGCGACAGGCAGTTTCTTGTCGCACCTGTCGCGCCGCGCGCAGAAAGTTGTATTGCCGGTGAAGCCTTGCAGCGACAATTCAACGTGTCCCTTTGGAAAACCGCGGACAAGAATTCTGAATTCCGCGGAAAAAAGGGTTAGTCTGCTGCATTTTCTGCATTAAAATCAAAAAAAAGAAGAAAAAAAGAAAAAGGCAAGAGCAATGTGCTCAAACAGATCCCAAAGTAGCTTTTCTGCTGCTTTCTGAGTAGCAATTTTACCTGCAAACATTCAGATTCCGCGGGGCAAAAGTGTGGATTTCGTGACTTCCACGGATGGTGGCATTTCTGCAAAAATTGTCGAGGCCGCGGAATCGCTTTTCCCGGGTCAAGGGTCAACATTTTCTTCAGACTTCAAAAACTGAAATGCAACTTTTTTCTAAACCCTCAGATCATTCAGACCAGGGAGTCGTCAGATTATCTTTATACAAAAAACAGCGCAATCTGGTGAAGTCATTGTCACGTTCTAAGTATCGAGCATATTTACGTTCGCTCACTACCACCCTATCTCACCCCTCTTCCAGGCCTAACCTGTATACCTTTGTTCGCACTCAAAGGACAACTAGTACACGTCAAGACATACCTCCGTTATTAGCTTCCAATGGTTCGATGGTGACTGACCCCAAGCTAATACTCTCAATACGCAATTCACATCAGCTGGTATTCCAGACGACCATTCCTCTCCAATACCACCTCTGCAACGTTCTGCGACTGTCTTCTGATCTGCGCTCTATACATACCACCACATCATCTGTTCGCAGCTACCTAAAAAGACTAAAAAGCAACAAAAGCCCTGGTCCTGATGCCCTACCAAATGAAGTTCTCAAAGTTCTGGCTCCATCTCTGGCGTACCCACTGTGCCTTATATTCAACCTTTCCTACTCCTCCGGCGTATTTCCTGATCGTTGGAAGATCGCTAAGGTCACGCCCATCTACAAGTGTAAAGGCTCCCGATCACAAGCCTCAAACTATCGCCCAATATCTCTTCTCTGCTCCCTTTCAAAAGTATGTGAAAAGATATTTTACGACCAGTTGTATTGCCACATTTCACCATGCCTTAGCCCTTCCCAATTTGGCTTTCGCCGCAACGACTCAACCTCTGACCAACTAGCTCGTCTAGTACAAGACATTGCCACCCTTCGTGATGCTCGACACCATTATTGCTCTCTGTTTCTTTGACTTGGCAAAGGCCTTTGATACTGTCTGGCATCGTGGCCTCCTTGCCAAGCTACATCTTGTCTTTGGTGTGTCTGGCCCTGCTCTGTCCTGGCTGGAGTCCTATCTGAGTAGCCGGTCACAGTTTGTTTCTGTCCTCTCCATCAACTCTGATCCCCTACCAGTGTCTTCTGGAGTTCCCCAAGGCTCCATACTTGGACCTCTTCTATTCGTAGCATACGTAAATGATTTACCCTCTATAGACCCAGGTGTCTCGTTATTTGCTGATGATACAACCCTACTGTCTGTAGCAGTTTTACACCTTCTTTCACCACTCCCACCTTATCACCTTGTATCACACCTACTCTCATATACATAACCAGTATATTGAGTAATAAACGCTCTCTTCTTCCTTCGCTCAATGAAGAACTATTACATTGGTAGCAAGAGGATGGATCTCCATCCCCTGTGGTCGTTCGTGGGCCTAGTTCTGGCCTCGGCTATCAGCTCTATCGTCGTCAGCATCTGGATCGTCAGAAGCTCTACCCTCTACTCAGTCGTCACCCCAGTGCGTTCCTGAGTCTCGTGCTTCAGCTTCCCAGCCTGCACCGCGTGATCGCCCACACGTCAAGGAGCCGCCCGTGTTCACCGGAGATCCCACCACGTTTCGGGAATGGGCAGTTGCCGTCGAGTTGGCCTTGGCTTCGTGGCGCTTCGCGGATCCTAAACGTGATGCTGAGTTTGCAGCCAGTTATATCGCTGGAAATCCGCGTCTGTGGTTGATGACTTCCCTGGAAGCCGGCGCTGCATACCCAGACTGGTCGTCCTTGAAGAAGGCATTAGAGGCGGCTTACGGTGTGAAGTACGACCAAGAGAGAGCTCGGTGGAGTTTGTTCTCCCTCTCCCAGCGCGGCGCCTTAGGAGACTACATCGCAGAATTCTCGCGGCTCAGTTTTTTAATCACTGACCTGGATGGCCACTCTCGCGCAGTACTATTTGTCAGGGGCCTGGCCCCGGAGCTCAGGCGTGAAGTCATGAAGGAGCATCCTACAACCCTGCAGAAGGCGACAGAAGCAGCGCTCGCCGCATCGCAAGTGATGCCCTTCATTACGGTACGACAGCAGCAGGGGAACCCGGTACGTCGTCCACTGTCGGTTCCTGGTCCCCGTTCCAATCGCGAGGAAACGGAACGACGATGCTACATATGCCACCGACCTGGTCATCTGGCACGTCAATGTGACTCGAACCCAAACGCTGGACGCCAGTAAAAAGAGGGGTGCGATTACTGGCGTGTGAGAGAGCACCCAAGGTCACCGTGCCAGTCGCCAACAGGTTTAGTTGCCTGGAGACAGACGACGGGGAGACTGATGATGGCGACGACACCCTGGAGTCTCAAGGCCCACAGTGCGTGCGGAGCTACGTCAGCAACATTGCCCTGGATTCGCACGCGCGGGACCACGATCTCCTTGTTGTGAACGGAAAGGTGAACGGCCACCGAGCGACAATGTTAATCCACTGCGGGTCAACACACGATTTTATCTCGGAACGATTCGCAATAAAACAAAAGATGAAAACGAAGATCGTGGAGGAGGTTCTAAAGGTGGCCTTGGCGGACGGATCAACCAGTTCGCGGCAGCTAGAGACCACCGACGCTCGCTTGGCCGTAGGCGGCTATGGCGATGACCAGCGCCTGACGGTCTTTCCCCTTGATCGATATGATGTGATCCTGGGAAAACCCTGGCTGACCCGGAATAACCCAACTATCAACTACCGCACCAACGAGGTCAAACTGGGTGCCGAATCCCTAA